GAGGTAGTGTTTTACAACCGGTTCAGAGTGGAAGGTTTCATATGTTCTGTGTATATGTTTGTGTATGTGTATGATTTGGCTTTTCCGTCTTCATCATCTCCGTCGCCATCGTTGTCGTCGCCGTTGTCTATTTTGCACAATTGTTTGTAACTTTTCGGTTTAAAAAAAAATTTTTTTATTTGTGTGTGTATACTTATATTTCTTCCGTAGCAAATCAAAAAGTCATTTGTAGTTATTCGTTCAGAATTTAGGCTTCTCAAGGATGCATGGTGAAGTGTACTAGTATTGGATAATTGTTCTATTTGTTTATAGTTGTCATCATTATTTATTAACTAATGAACGGTAGTAGATATATAATCACTGTTGCCGTCGTAGCGGACTTCAGGATACTGGTGAAGGTTATTTGGTTTTGTCTAAGATACATAATACGTCTTTTTTTTTCAAATTCATGCTTTTCTATGGCTTATTCTTTCACGCGTTAGTTTTATTATCACTATTATTTTTATTGCTATTATTACTATTTATATTACTACTGTCACTTTTATCATTACCATTACCGTTATTATTATAAGTTTTATTTTTATTGCTGTCATTACTGTTAATTTTAGGTTTATTTTATTTTTACAGAAAAAAAGACTGGGTTTTTTTTGGATCTTTTTGTTTTTTACGGCTATTATTCTTGTGGAAAAAGTGACTAACTCCTGAAAGTTAATTGTTATGTAAACAGAGGGCGACGTAGAAAAGGGGGAGAAACAAGCAAACAAAGAGAGGAGGAGAGAGAAAGAGGAAGAGAGACTCCAGTCAGGTGAGCTAGAAATGCACCAAAGAGTTTCCTGCTTTTTGTTTTATTCTACAAATTAATACCCGCTGATGTTTGCTCTTTTGCATAGCTTTTTCTTTTTTTTTTTTTTTAATTTATGCACCGGAGAATTGAGAATGAGACAAAAATAAAGGCAAAGAAGAACATGGAAGAAGAAAGCGTTAAAAAAATTTTTTTCAACTCAATTGCACGATTTGCCTCTGAATGATTTTGTGGTGATATAAAGTTCATTTTTCCGTTTATCTTTCTTTCGCTAAGGTTTTTTGCCGTTCGCTTTTACTGCTTAGTCAGTAAGCAAAAGGAAGTGACGAAAGTTTTTTTTGTTGTTGATTTTGTTGAAGGGTGGGATGTGTTAAGACGAATGGAAAGAGGACATAAGCTGTTGTTTCATCTTGTAATTATATCACTTTATTGGCTGCCAAAGGGAGTTGGGAAAGCAGTCGGAGGGAAATAGTGAGCAGGAACAAAGTTTCTGATTTGAAAAACTTTACACATTCGCACACCTTTTAACAATAATAGACCAATGTTGGTTAGAGACTTATGATACTGTTACTACTATGGAAGTAGTTGTTGTGCGTTAATATATATATATATATATATATATATATATATAT